ATGTTTATTCTCTTGTTACGTGAGTTATTGAGAATGAATCTCTAGATGAATTAGTTGTTGCTTGTCCGTTAGCTGAGTAGTTAATTGATCGTTAAATGTATTGAGAACCGGAAACGATTGTCCCCGACGCCCTAGTCCATTTATACCATTGGGATTTGTGTTTGAACTGTGAGTTTGGAATAACTTGTCTTGTTTTTTTTTTTTTTTACAATTCGTAGTCAATAAAACTAACAAAATCAATCTGAGTAGAGTGTTAGGATTATTTTCTCTTCTTTGTGATTGAATATTCGCGCAATTTAATCCGGCCAACCTTCCTTGTAATACAACCCGGTGTTCGAATCTTTCGATTCTACTCCGGTAAAAATACTTACAACATGTTGCTTAAAAAATTCTATTTTACAAATTACAACAACACGTAATGGCTAATCAAACACCCGAGAAAAAATCAATTATTATTTTACCAATCTAAATTTAAAACTCATTCCAACAACAACATATAATTAATCATATTTTTACTCCAACAAAAAAAAAAATGTCAATTAATTTATCAAAAACACCACCAAAATCCTAGTCACCATGATCCAACAATAACATCAATAATTCGGATAAATTGAAAGTCCTAATCGAATAATCCTCCAAAAACCCTAATACCCTTATTGAACAATAACATATAATTTATCTATAATTTGGATAAACTGAAAGCCCTAATTCTAACCCTAATTTTCAAAAAACTTTAACCCAACACCAACCAAACAATACAAAATTGATAATTTACACACAAAATTCCAATCTCCAATTTAACATACATACATAATCGATAATCAAATAGCAATTTACAATCTTAAAACACCACCACATTCAAACATATTATAACAATTCTCAATCTCTAAACAACTCCAAAAATTGTAAAAAGTTAATATAAGTCAATATACCTCGTGCGAATGTATTAACCGGAAATGAGGCTCGTGTCATTGTTGTCGGTTCACGCCGGGGTGAGGATTGGACCGAGTTTTTTTTTTCGATTGTTTTCGTCTATGTCTGCTCTCTGATTCTGATTCGCGTAAATGAAATGGAGAGGAAGAGATTTTTTTTTATATTTAATTAAAAAAACATATTATGAGAATACGTTTACCAACAATTTAATTGTAAAACGTATTCTCAGAATACGTTTCAATTATTTTTTCTTTTATTCAAATGCGTTTTTTAATGAAATCGCATCCATGTTTTTCGCATTTTTTAACATAAAACGTATTCGGAATTCGTTTTAGATAAAACGAATTTCGGAAATATGTTTTATAATATTTTCTTTTTTAAAAAAAAAATAAAAACTAGAAAATACAAATTGTTTTTTTAAAAACATTTTTTATGGTTTTAAAAAACGTATTTACATAATACGTTTTATATTTATTATTTTTTTTAATATTCGAATATTAACATAATTTTGTGTTGTCTTAAAATTTACAAAAATAATTTAAAAATGTATTCCTGAAATATGTTTTTCTAATTAATTTATTTGAAAAAATGTATTAC